CTTCATGCAGATACTGTGCTTTAAAAAATTAGACCTATAGGAAAATCAGCTTAATTTCACCACCCCAAATTAATCATCCAGTAAACATTTTGGTGGGTTTTTTTTCTAGTCTAGATAACTGTATATGTGTTTATAACCTGCGTTTTCCTTAATTTTTGAGCCTTTAACACATCTTTTGAAACTTTTATGAGCTTAGATTTTCTTAACTCCATTGTATGACTGCATTATAATTTACATAAAATTTTACTAAAATATGTCATATTTAAAGAAAAGTGAACCACAGATGCTAAGAGTAAGCAGCACCTAGCATTCCTTAATAGATTTTAATATTTTATCATGCCTTTTTCAAAGGCACCAGTCCTCTCTCATATTTTTCCTTAACTGTAAACATTTGGGATGAGGGAGGGCCCCCCTTGTATCTTTGCCAGGAGACTCTGTGGATATGTGTGAGCACATGTTTGTGCAATATTAGGGACTTCATTTTTTCCATATATATAACCTTTATTGTGTAGCTGACATTTTCCTCACTGAGTGTGAATGTTCTTGTGTATGCATGTATGTTTGTGTAAATATAAAGTCAGGCCTGCATATAACTGTGGGTCTTTCTGACCCCAGCCCCTTTCTGTGCACCAGCATCATTATTAAATGCCACAGATTACCAGTGTGTCTTCACAAGCTAAGTCCCCATAGCTTCTTCATATCCACAACTGTCATAGTTATCTTTGCCTTTTGACTTTTCTGTGTGAATTTGAAGATTAACTTGCTATTTTGTTCTGCAGAAAATCTTGCTAGCATTTTATTGGAATTGCATAGAATGGTATATGTGATTTTCCATTACAAATTGTGATGTCACGAGCATCCTCTGGGAGGTAGGATTCATGGGTCAGGGGATACATTTAAAACGACATTGTTTGATGAGATTGGCTGATATTTTCATGAAAGTGGACAACATCCACTGCTAGTGAAGGCTTGGAACATAGGTGATGGCAGTGAGTCACAACTCACACATTTCTTCATAGGAGTCTAGAAGTAAGTATAAAGATTGCAAAAGCTCTATCCTTTGGTTTCATAATCCTCTTTTAAGAAGCCTACAAAATAAAAGTACAGGTGCCTAAGAATATAGGTAAGGGTGGGTTCAGAGCAACTTTGCTTACAGTAGCAAAAACTGGAAATCTTAATATTCACCAGTGGGAGATGAACTAAATAAAAGGACTGAATCCCATCTCTATGTATTGACCTAGAAAGTGGTTTATGAGAACACTAAGTGAAAATACAGGGCAGAGAGATGTGTGTAGTATGAGTGCATATTTATTTAAAAGCAGGTGGGTAGAAGAACTCTGAATTTGTGCATCTGTGTATATACATATGTTTGTATAAGGGCCTTAGACCCCAGGACCACACATCACACTTGCATATCCCAGTGGTTAGGTTGAAGTAGGGCAGGAGCCATGCATCTCTCTTATGTGTGTCTTTATACACATTGATCGTCCTTAATCCAAAAACCTGAAATTGAAAAAGGTTTCAGGTTTTGAAGCATTTTGGATTTCAGATTTTCAGGTTAACGATGCTCAACTGGTAAAATCTATATAAATATTCCAAAATCTGTTCAAGTTTGGGGTACTTCTGATTCTAAGCTTTTAGGTAAGTGATACTCAATGTATGTTGATTTAAAATTTCCTAAGTTGAGCTAGACTCCACATACTATATGATGCACTCTTCTAAAAAGCATGCAGTTCAGTAGGTTTTAGGGTATTCACAAGGTTTTATAACCATGGCCACTGTCTTATTCCAGTGGAGTTGACTTTCTGCTTTCATGTGAAAGAGGTACAGAAATTTTATCAGCCATGTTAACAGAATGAAAATAAATTTTACTTTTCCATTGCTCTAGGTGTTAATGTCTTGTGACCTACTCACTAAGTTGTAGCAGGTGACATCCTCTGTGGCCCTGGGGAAGAATGCCTGTCCCTTTGCTCTGTACCATGTGTGCTAGGTTAAAGGCAGTGTAAAATCCGCTGTCTTATTTTGGCAACTCTCAGGCCAGCCATGAGACTGAACTCTTCTTCATGTTTCCTAGTCATTTGCCTCTCATGCATCTTTTTTCTTTTAGCTGTGGACTGACTACTGTCCTTTGCCTATTGTCCATGGCCCACTGGTCATGGCCTCAGCCATTTGCTGACTATTTCCTTCTGCATCTGGCCTTTTTGTGACTGAATATTGAATTAATACATTGTAGTTTACCTCTGGATGCTGCTTTGACCATTGAACCTAAATCTGCTTGCCTGTTTAGCGTGTGTACG